ATTACCTCCCAAAGACCGATAAGATCGCACAGATTGGGCCTCCTCCGGGTGCTGTCGGCCGGTCAATGTTGGTTGGCGGGTCCCCGGGGCAGGGCCTTCTCTGTTGCTGCGCCGGCCCTATGGAACGATCTCCCCATAGAGATCCGGACCCTCACCACTCTTCCAGCCTTCCATAAAGCTACGAAGACCTGGCTGTTTTGGCAGGCCTGGGGCTGTTGATTATTATCCAGCCCCACTCTAAGCAGTATGCATGATGTGTAATTTTTTTAAATTGTATTTTTATTTTTTATTTTATATGCCCCCTTGTCTTCTCTGTAAGCCGCCCAGAGTCCCTAGGGAGTGGGTGGCATACAAATGTCAATAAACCTAAAACCTAAACCTAAACCAATTGTGGAGACAACTGGAAAACCCTCCCCTTGCCATAGAGTCTTCTCCTGGCGCACTGTGCTTCTCCCCCCTTCCCCCCACTGGAAGCTCCTCTCAAAATTGTGGCCCCATTTTCTTGCCGTAGCTGTTCAGTGAATTTATTGCAGTTGTTAAGTTACTAATCTGGTTGTTAAGTGAATCTGTCTTTCCTGCTGACTTTGCTGGCCAAAAGGTTACAAAAGCTGATCACATTACCTGGGGACACTGCAAACTGTCATAAATATGAACCAGTTGCCAAGCATCCAAATTTTGGTCACATGACCATGAGGATGATGCAGTGGCTGTAAGTGTGAAAAATTGTCATAAGTCACGTTTTTCTGTGACATGGTAACTAGGGATGGGATTCAGCCAGTTCGGACTAATTTTGCATCCAGTTCACGGAACCAGTAAGGACTGGCTTGCCCCTCCCACCCTGCCCCTCCCTTCCCAGGAGCCTCCACACAGCCCATTCATCATGCCAGGTAAGTGCAAGGCTTGCGTGGAGGCTCTGGGAAGGGGGAAAACGGGCCTCCCGGAAGTTCCAGAAGTCGGGAAATGGGCCTGTTTGCGGCCTCCGGAGAGTCTCATTTTTGCCCTCCCAGAGGCTCAAGGAAAGCCTCTGGAGCCTGGGGAGAGCAAAAACGCCTCCCCCCTTGTGGTGCAGGAGGTGCAGGAGGCCACGCCCCCTATGGCCACACCTACCCAGCAACTGGGCAGAGAACTGATTGCAAAAAATTTTCAATCCACCCCTGATTGTAACTTTGAACAGTCACTAAATGAAGGGTATTCATTCATATTTAGTAAAGAAGAACCCATTTCCCATCTGGGTAGTTGGTTCCGCTAGCAACATGTTGTTATTGTTAGGAAGTCAAGTTTTTTAAAGTATTTAATCAGAACCTGTGTTCTTGTGCCTTAAGTTCATTATTCTATGTCTTGCCCCCTAGAATGAAAGATACCATATTCTGTTCCTTTATGTGAATTTTTTTGGGTAGATGACTCTCTTGAGTCATTTGTTTCTCAAGGTTAAACGTATTCAATACTTAGAAACCGAACTTAGTGCAATCATCCTCACTGCTTTCTTTGAACCTTATTCTTTGAATCTTATTTAAAACATGGCACAATAGTCAAAGTGGGCTGTGACTGATGCATAATTGATTGACTGATTATGTGCCATCAAGAGCCGAGGTGGCGCAGTGGTTAGGGTGCAGAACTGCAGGCCACTTCAGCTGACTGTTATCTGCAGTTCAGCGGTTCTAATCTCACCGGCTCAA